ATGATGATGGTGATGATGATGATGATGAGGCGACTGATGGTGATGATGACGATGATGATGCCACAGATCGTGACGATGGCCATAGTGGTGGTGGTGGTGGTGGTGGTGGTGGTGGCGGCGGCGGTGGCGGCGGTGGCGGTGGCGGTGGCGGTGGCGGTGGCGGTGGCGGCGGTGGCAGCGATGATGGCGGTGGTGGCAGTGGTGGCGGTGGTGTTGGGGCGGCGGCGGCGGCGGTGGTGGTCGTGGTGGTGGGTCGTTGTTGTTGTTGGAGAAGGAGGGGGAGAAGGGAAGGAAAAAGAAGAAGAAGGACAAGAAGGAGAAGGAGAAGGATAGGAAGGAGAAGAAGGAGGAGGAGGAGGAGGGGCGAGGAGGAGGAGGAGGAGGAGCGAGGAGGATGGGGAGGAGGAGGAGGAGCAGGAGGAGGAGGAGTGGGAGAAGTAGGAGTAGGAGTAGGAGGAGTAGGAGTAGGAGTAGGAGTAGGAGTAGGAGTAGGAGTAGGAGTAGGAGTAGGTGGAGTAGGAGCAGGAGTAGGCGGAGGAGGAGTAGGAGTAGCAGTAGTGGGGAGCGGGAGCCGTAGCGGGAGCGGTAGCGAGAGGCAGCGGTAGTGGTCGTTGTAGGGATCCGGGTATCAGTACAGTCATCACCGCCACCGCCACCACGGCTACGATGTTACTGTTGTCATCTGCGTCAATGAGGAGATCTTGGTTACCTTGTCAATATGCGGCCGTGCTTGCCAGTATGCACCTGTGATACTGCCAAAACGGCAAGAAGCATGTAATCACACCGACAACACAGGTCTCGATTTTCTGACTTACCGCAATACTTCACATTGATTTCTTGCTTGATGATCACAGTCACCAGCATCTCGAACATAACACATCCCTCACTCTTTCCGAGGACTCCTTTCTTCATCTGCCGAGCAACGACCGGGACCCGTGTCGTGCGGCTCGCCGCCGCTCGGAGCCATGGCACGCTGCCCCAGGGAGTGTATCTTCAAGTTAACTGTATGCTGGAGTCTGAGAAAGGGATAAGGATTAGAGATCTTTCGAGGTAGCTCGGCAACTACGAGACAAACCTGCGCTCCATTCCCCTGCCTCTTTGCACCGCACCCCGTCACTGCTACTACCATCGCTTCCTTGAGCAAGGTCTGTCCCAGCACGCCTGACTATGGACCAAAGAGAATCAGGTGGATGATGCAGGCGCTGGGTAGAACCACCTTCCTTTTAATGACCTTCAAGTGTTTTTGGTCGTTTCGGCGGCTTGCACACTCACATTCCAACCTTCCAAACAGCCTCGACTCGGAGCTCGACTTGGGTTGGGCAGACACATGCACACGCTCACAATACCTCCCCCATGCGTCGGTTGCGGATATTATGATACCAAGCAGCCTGCCTCCCGATTGTCCGGATTCTTGTCCGGATGCCAGACCAAGGCCTTCTCTCGATATGCCTGCCAAAGGCCATTCACCTTACCTTTCACTCCAGCTTCCGCCCCTTGGATCCCAAACCTGTACCGCGGCAGTGGCCTTCTTAATGGTCCGAAGGTCAGCATCCTTCGGGACGTCCAGCACCTCGTAGTAGGTCTGCTTGGCCTTAGGTGAGCTGTGTTACCCCACTTGAGCAGGTGTCCACCGTCAAGCTTTGATCAGAGCTGAAAAACACCTGCTCCCGAAGCCATAACTCGATGCAAGATTACCCAGCCAAGACCTCAGAGGCAGGGAATCCAAGACGACGGGGGGCTGGACAAAACCGATCCGGAGAAGGTCGAGGATAGATTGGTGCAACGCCCCAGAAGAAAAGTGAAAGAAACCCGAAATCCTCAAACCCTCAAACCCAAAGCGTAGTTCTCTTGATCTGTTGGCAGTTGAGCGATTCAGCGGTTCATGCAGCTTCATGCGGCCTTCATGGGTCTCTCTGGGGCCCCGAGCCCAGGCGAGGCAGAGCACCAGCCAAAGCACCTCTCAGAAGAAGAGAGAGAAAGGGAAGAAGGAGTGCTGAGAGAGTCGCCCAGCACTTCTGCACGCTTGTGTCGCTTTCGGGAGAGAGCCCGGCCCGGCCTTCAGAGGGCCCATGGTGCTGCTGCTGCTCTGCGCTGCTGCTCTCTCTCTCTCTCTCTCAAGGGCTTTTCTTTGAAAGTCCCGTGTCGCAGGGGGGTGCGCGAGTAGCACCTTCCTCTGCTAGCATCCCGTCAGCCCGTTGACGGCATCTATCGCACATGCTAGGATCCTCCGATGCGCATCACTTCCTATGACACCTATGACGTATGGCAGCTTGATCTTCAACAGCTTCAGGCGGCTCACGGCTCACGACTTACTCGGCAGAGTCCTTGGGATAGGACGCACTGATGTGCGGGGCAATTTTTTGGGCCGTGACCAAGTGACACAGATTTACAGAGACCATGAAGCATCTCTCTCGGGTCAAACCTTCCTCGCTGCACCTTTCGAGCGAAATTTTTTAGTATAGCCGCCAGTCTGGATCTCTGCATCTTGCAGCTCCGGCGAGGGATCTTTGCACCTGCCAGTGCCCGAATCCGAGTACCAAGATGAAGCGACCGCGATCCGGGTGTATACCCATAGCACCGCGCAAAGCGGTCGCACACGGTCTTCGAGTCCTGAGTCTCCATACCCGGAACCTGCATTCTCGAGATGTCCCTTGAACGCCCAGGACCCTTGGGCCCTCGACCGCCTCCGCAGGCGGATCAGCGCTTTGCCCACGTGGCCCTGGCACACATCGCACCGGTCTCGAACTTTGCAACAAGGGGAGGAGGCAGTCACAAGAATCCGGAGGACAAAATGCTTCAGCTCGCATGCATGCCGGCATGTGACTAAACGTCCTCAAAGCCTGAACGGCCCACAAAAAGGCGGACTTGCCCGAGGGCCTCCTCGGCGCGCAGTGCCGAGAGGGCGGTCTCCGAGAGGGCACTCAAGCCCTCGGCCCGGGCCCTGGCCGTGGAGGCAGATCAGGCGAAGCATCTGTAAATGTAAAGGAAAGTCGAGCAAAAAGTCAAGAATCCAATCGAAGCTAACACGGTACTCAGGCAATAGAACCTAAAAACACATACCTTGATTCATGGCCAGGTCATGTCAATTCAACGTACCGTAATGCAGCATGATACATAGCACAGGCGACTCGGGGCCTCAGGAGCAGTCGCTCCAAGCGCTCCTCCTCGCTCCGCGGTGCCTGCAGCGGTGCGAGACTTCGCTCCGCGGCTTCCGCTGGGTTCGACAGAGGCGCTTCTTTGCACCATGCTCCTGGCCTTCGAGGCCTTGGGAACTGGCTCCTGCAGACGGTTTTTCTTGAAACACAAACGAGCGCAGGTGTGACCTTAGGCCCAGTCCGGAAGCTCATGGACCGTGGCATCCGCCTGGGCCGGCTCCTCGGCCACATCAGCCTGGCGCTGGGCTGGGCACCTCATGCCGAAGATCTGCGACCAGCCTATGCTTGGGGAGCCTGATTCCTTGTGTAAAGCCCTTTGCTGGGTGGGTAATGGCTGGTGGTTGAAAGCGAGGTCAGACTGCAAGCGATCCGTCGGCCGCAAGGAGATGCTCTACGACGGGAACCCAAAGGCTAGACCTTAACGACCCTCAAGCCTAGACCCTGACCGTGAACGCCAGCCTAAACAACCCTAAACCCCAAACCTTGACGCCTGAACGACCATGCACCCTGAACAAGCCCAAACCCTAATCCCGACACAACCCTCAACGCCTAAACTCTAACTATCCCTGAGCCCTAAACTACTCCTCAACCCCTGAACCCCACAAACCCTAAATCCCAAAGCCTAAACCACCCGAAACCTTAAACCGCAACTGAACGACCCTCAACTGCCAGACATAAACAACCCCAACCCCTGTATCCCCTGAACGCCAAATGATGAACCCATAAAACCTAAACTCCAAACCTCAAAGTCGTGAACAGCCCCATACCCTAAACTCCAGCCTTAGCCACAAACCCCAAACCGTGTCAAGTGCGCACCCTGCCCTCAAACACGAACTGGACCAGGAAGGAAGTACCCAGCGACTTTTTCGAGAGGTTACTGCATGCAGCAACATGGGCTCCTGTCAATCACAGCCACTATTTCATGGTCTTTGCATGTCTTCGCCATGCAAAACCTCTAATGGAAGGCGTCACCACAATGCCAAATCTCCACGCAGCTACAGTATCCCAAAGTGTCCGCAAGACTACGTGCAGCGTATGCCTGTCGCGAGGCACATGGCCATCGATTCGGCGTGGAAGCTCAGAATCGGAAAACGACCCGAATTGCGCGAGCGCTCGCGGGCTACGTGCAGACTGCAAAAGGCAAGCCCCAGGCCAAAGATCTCTTGCTGAATCTAGCTTCTGCTGGTTTGCCAAAGTTGCTAAACATGGCATGCAAGGCTGAAACAAGCTGAAAGACTCAGCGCCAGGGTTGCAAGCAGAAAATGCCTCTTTGCACACAGGCTGTTTCGCCTGGGGATCAGAGGCTTTGCAGAATTTGATTTGGCCAATGCATCACAAATTTGTAAATCTGGATGTTGCTACCAACCTCAGCGATTGGAGCTTCGCAAGGCTTCAGATCTGCGTGTGGTGAGGTGCTGCAGTCACATACCATGAAGCACCCCGGGACGGGGCCCGAACCAGGTTCTGGCCCTTCGGCACGTCCAGAGCCAGGCCGGGGTCCGTCAGCCACTGCAGCTGGAAGCCTCGGCGACGGCGCAGAAGGCGCGGGAGGAAACTGAAAAGGTACCGGGCTTCCGAAAGACAAGTGGCTGATCTTGTCGGGGCTCTGATGCACGATCCACTTCCTGAGATACCCCTTCTTGTGAAGGACAAGGGGACTTCACGGCGCACAGCATCGCGACTGGAACTCCCCAAGCCAACTGATTCTCAGGGGCTGGTCTTTCCGGGACCGCTCATTGATGCTGCAGGTCCACAGCTGCAGGTAGTTCCTCCAAGCACTTCGGGAGAGTTTGCAGATGAAAGGAAAATCTCCGAGTGTGAGGGAATTTGGAAACCCAAAATAATCGCTCAGCGAGGTTCATGCACCTGTGAAGATGCTCGGCATACACCCTTGATGGGAGATCCCCGGCTCCTGCAATCCCTCCGCGAGTTCATCAAAAGATCATAACTCGAGTCTACCGCGGGACACATAAGCTACAGAACTCTGCAGCAAAGACTCATCGGTGAGTCCAGTCCGGAAGACTTCCGCCAATCTGCATGGTCGTGAACATCCAAGCCTTCGGCTGCTCAAGACGGGCACAAGCTAGAACTGCTTCAATGCTCCTCTCACGCAGACTACATCGGAAACCTAACCGAGTGGTTGTGGGGTGATGCTGCTGGATCCAGATGGTTGCAACTGTTGCAACGGACGTGCTATCATCCCGCGAACTGAGACGACTTCGGGCGGGTCGTACCGGGGACATCCACGATCTCGTGGAAAGAATATCTACCCGATGTACAGATGCGCGGTCTCACATGCTCGAAAGCTGCTGTGTGATGCTTAACGCTGGTCCCGAACAGGGGACCTTGAAGGCCCCCCCCTCACATCATCAGAGCTTTCATGAAGTCCAAACTCGGGGTAAGGCTCAGTAAGCCTCAGCTCCCCCACTCTGAGTCAGGAGGCACTTGTCTGTTCCAGCCAAGCGGAAAGAAGTCACCGATTCCGAAGGGAAGTCGCCTTGTGGATAGCAGGCAATGGCTTCGGGCTTGGGCTTGGCTTTCACTCTTCTTATCCTAGAAGACAGGGCCGGAATCGTGGCCAAACTCGGCTCGGTCTCTCAAGCCACGCGAGGGTACTTGTTCCGAGCCGCGGATGTGAAAGATCTTCCAGTCGCCCCCTGGCTGCTCCGACCGGGCCTGGATCGTTTGAGGCTTTGGGGATCTGGCCTTCAGGTCGAGAAGTCGACAGGCGAACTTCAACAAGGGTGAGCCATGAGCTTACCACTGCATGCCAGCGAGTGTCTGTGCCTTCTCATTCAGCTGCCAGGCCACATATGCCGGCAGATTGTAATGTTGGGAGGCTTGAATCACAACACGGGTCGGTCGGAAAATGCTGCCCCGAAGGCCCCGGAAGCCGAAATCGAAACCTGCAGTCTGGGTCGAGGAGCCTCCCAGCTCACCCAGCAGTCTTGACAGCCACACTCGTTCAGTTTGATGATCGCTCCTAGGCAGGGATGACATCTCTCAGACCCGAGGGCTGGAGAAGCAAGGCTGGCAGGAAAGGTAGGATACCGGGAAACTGTGGACAACCGACACATGTCGCGAAGCAAGACAGCCAAGACCACGATCCTGCCAAACCTTCAGCACTAGGCCAGCGAATCCAACTACCTTGCGCCGAGATGCCGTCTTCGGGTTCCGACACTCCAATGCACTTGCCCTGGGAGGTTCAGAGTTGGAGGGAGGTTGCACCCGAAAAATTGAGACGGCGGCCTTGAAGGAGATCGTGCCCGAGAAAGCCGTTGTCTCCACGCCTGAGCTTCACGACGCTTCACGGGACAAGCTCAAGAACCGTCGTTGCAGGTCTACGAGACTCTATACGAGACGACCCACGTCGCTTCGAAAAAAACCCTCACCCGAACCGACCAGGGATTTTCACGCAGGCCCACAGGAGGGATCTGAGCTCAACTTAGGTTTTGCAGTTTGGGCCTGCTTTCTGTCAGAAGACCCGCCTGCAAGACAGTGTCTGTTGCCTGCGTTATGCCAGGATGCTGCTCAGCCTCTCGTAAGTCGCGAAGTGGTACAGATCCTTCACTAAATTAAGCCACACTCGTGTCTGCGTGTTTCCTGGCACTGTTGTCACAGTCACAAACACTGCGGCCGCATGGAGCGACAACTTCAGCTCGAACCTTCTGCAAAGACAGTCGATAACTAGAAGAGGCCACGGAGCAACACAGCCGAGCGCTTCTCGAAGAGACAGAAAGAGAGGGGGAGGAGGGAGAGACAGACATATTGAGAGAAACACACGGATGGGCTTGGGGAGTTGAAGATCCTACGGCCTTGCGACGGCACAGTTTGTTCCCAGTTGCAAGTTCTCGAAAGTCTGCTGATCAAGTCTGCTGATCTCGAGGCGCAGCCACAGAAAGTCCTGACTCGCATCGCCCCCCTTGTACTGCTGGCAGAGGCCCTTGTCCTGCAGGAAGGCAGGCTTAAAGTGCGGCTGCTCAGAACTCACGAACCATCCATTCTGGTGCCTGTATTCCACGACAATGTCCTCAACCCGAAACGAACGTCCGAGCCTTAACCCTGAATCGCTGCCATTGCCAACTATTCTTGGTGTGGAGGCCTCACTGGTCAGAAGTTGTTGTCGTCGTAGTAGTAGTAG